AATGTTTTTTAGTGTTCGATCAGTTTTTTAGACAAAAATCATTTGGATTTTAGTTAATCGACTCCAGGCTGGTAGTGCGTATTACATGTTCAAACGCTGTATTGCGCATGGCTATTTACACACATCATGGCATTGCCCTTTTGCAGTATCATATACTGGTTATACGTGTAACAGTTTTCATGTTTCCTTTCGGTTGCTGTTTGCGCATTGTGGATGTGTTCCCTGAATCAGTCGCAGTTGTGGCGGTGGTCCCGCTGCACATATTCCTGCTCCGTTCGTTTTCGCTCGCGGGGTCTTCGTGGATGCTCAATGTATATAGGTGTGATTTTCGCGCCGGTACTTTGCCGCGAAGTAAGTAACATGGCGGGCGCTGCTGATGCCAACAAAGGTCCCCCCCACCAGCCCGCAAAGAGTGGGCGCCTGGCAATGCAGGATTGGTGCTCCTTCCCGCTTTACATCAACAAGAAGACGTGGACGTCAGTTTTGGAGGCTCCTGGGTCCCTGGTTGCCTTAGATGTGGTGCTTCGCCACCTTGTGCAATTGGGCTTGCGAAGTCCATCAGAGCAAGCTCAGGCCATGCTGGCCGCACTTTGTGTTCTGCGGGATTTGAGGGATGACTCAAGCAGTTCCAAGCAAATCCCCGATGCGATGAAGCTCAGATCCATCTTCCTGAACGTGAAAGCTCGGGTCCATACATCTATGTTCAAAGCGAAACAGGATGGCGATCAGATGTTGCCTCATGGACACCTAGTTGCACTACCTGCAAATCCAAAGGACGCGCCAGCTGGACTTCTCTCGCTGGCCTTTCCAGACGGCTACGAGAGCGAGTCAGACTCAGCGCCGTTCTCTCTCATGGACCTTGCCAACGTTGCCAGGGAGATCTCTCTACGCTCGACCAACAGCAAGGTGGTGCAGGCTGACCATGACTAGGCAACCAGGTAAAGCTTTGGGCGCCTTGCTTGACAGAGCTGAGGGCAAGGGTACTACTCAGCAACCCCAGCTTGCTCTTCCAGCACCACCATTGCCAGCAAGCAAGGACGTGTTGCCAGAGAAGCCGCCTGCGTCAGCAGATCCACCCCTCCCTTGTCCTGCGCTTTGTGACCGACCGTCTTCGCAGCCTTTAGAGAGCGTGCCAACCTTGGAAGCCTTGCCTTCGAAGCCTTCTTGCGCGCCGGAGGGCTTGCCAACCTCGCAGGTGCAGGACGAGAAGGTGAATGACATGGCTCCACACAATCGTGGCATCTCTCTTGCTGAGAGCGTGGAAAAAATGAAGGAAGCAAGGGTGAAGTTGAAGGAAGGCTCAAACCAGTCACATGGTCCTGTGATGAAGAAGCCAGCCAAAGGACCTTCCAACCCCAAGTCCAAGTCTTTGGGCAGCCTGGCTTCCAAGTGTGCCACGCAGCCACCAAAAAAGCCGAAGCAAGGCTTTGGACAGGGAGTCATGAAGAGACCGAGCATCGCAAAGGCTGCTTCCAACCACAAGGCCAAGAATGACGAGAGGAAAAGGCTGAGGGAAGAGATCATTGCCAAGCTGGACGTGCCTACCAGGAAGAAGTTCAAGGACGGGTGTGCAAAGTGCCGCTGGCGCAAACTATGCACTTTGTCTTGTTGGCAGTACCGTGGGTACTGATCTAGTCTTGGATTTTGGATCTTATTGCCTAAGCTGGGCCCTGGCAATGGATCCCGGGTGAAACCATCCGTAGAATGTCGCCAAGAAAAGTCATCGCGGCACAGAATCGACTATGCTTGTGGAGGAGTCATTGTTTCGTGATTTCAACTCTTGATCGGTTCGTTTAAGCCCCATAAGATATAAACAGAACTGGTAAAACCCATATAGATGCGGTCGCCCGCACCTAGCAAAGGTTGCCACAAGTTGAAAGAGCTTATATATATATATATAGTTCATAGACGCGGTCGCCCGCGCCCCAAACCTTTTTTTTGTGTGACCACTTAATTTCATATATATAGCTGGTTCCAAGTAGGGTGGAAATCGGCGTGGACAGCTAGCTGTTTGAATCCAGTTTTTTTGCACCGCTTGTGAATCCCAAGTTGCGCTCACTGTACCTACGTTTTTGGGCGTGCTCGTGGAAGCTGGGCGCTCTCAAGCCATGGAGACCTGCGCAAATATGACCCTCGCCGAATACACATTGATGTGCCGTGATGCTGGGATGAGGGTGTCTGGGTGAGAAATAGAAACTTTCCAAACACTTTTGGATGGGCGGAGATGGGTCTTTGCGGTTCAGAAGTATAGCTCACCTTCCTTTATATGTATGCTCTGTTGTGACCCCCGAAAGGAATAATGCGCATCACATAATCAATTAAGGAATCTGTCATGGACGACGATGCTCCCACGTCAGTAGCGCTCTCCGATGAAGAGGACGCAATGTCGCCAGCATCCCTTTCAGAAGTGAACCCTTTGGAGGCTATGCTGGGAGACGATTGGCATGGGCGAATTCAGAAGGACCTTGAGCTGAAGGCCCAAAGCCAGAAGGATGTTGAGCTGAAGGCCCAAAGCAAGGAGAACGATGCTGAGCTGAAGGCTCAAAGCAATGAGCAGGTTGTTGATCAGAACGCCCAAAGCAAGGTAACGCCACCATGGAGGTCAATGACAAGCGAAGTGCCCTCTCAAGCTGATGTTTGCGAAGTGCCGCCATGGGGCCAAGCGAGACGGCGCGCCAAAAGGGCTAGAGAGCAGGATGAGCCAGCTGAGGAGCAGGCGCCCTTCACCAAGGAAGTTGAGGAACCAGCTGAGGAGCAGGCGCCTGAGCCGAAGCAGGAAGTGGAGGAGCAACGTGTCCCTGCCGGCGCTGCTCTCCTAGGCTTGTGGCCAAAGCGGATGGCAAAGCCGTCAAGACCTGCAAAGATGGATGTGGATGGCCACACAGGGTTGCATGCTAAAAGCATGGCAAGGCCAAAGGAGCAAATCGTCCATGATGATCAGCTGGCCAACTTTCGAGAGGACATGAAGCAGCTGGCCGAAGAGCTCGGCTGGTCTAGGAGGGCTCTAGAGCAGTTCTGCGGAATGGAGAAACGCAAACGCGGCAAGAATTCCCGACCATGGCAACAGTGTGACTGAGAAAAAGCGTGTAGCCAGTCATTGCACTTGCTGCGGTAGCCCGCAGAGCTGTTTCAGTTTAAGATACTCCATAATAGAGGTTCATATATAAAGCCCTCCAACACAGAGTCCATTCTAGTAATTAATTAAGATTCTTTCAGAGACGCATCTCTGTTTGTCATCAAGAGTGTAACTCTGTTAGCTTCAATGCTGGGTTTTTCAGCTTTGTCATCAAGATGGTAACTCCTTTTTATCTTCTGCAAATAGTTTCAGCTGGTTGTATGTTTTGGTCACTTCGTCTGTGCTGCGCTCGCTCCAGGGCAAACCGCTGACAGTTTGTTGAGGCCCCACGGCGTCGCCGTTTTGCTGGCGCCATGTACCGCTATGGCCGTGTGGCGCCGCAAGATTGGCAAAATTTCCCAGAAGCCACCTTCGAGGACGGAAATATGTGTGATTGGATTGGCCCCTTACCCAAAGGTCAGGTGCTCCGCCTTCGATTCGGGGCAAAAACGATGCTTGGACATGTGCTTGTGTGTTTTGCTTTGGTTGGTGTGGGCTGTTGTAGGCTGGAGCCAAGTATACGTTTTGTCATTGCACCAGGGTCACCTGCAATGCTTTTGTTGTCATCATCCCTAATAGTGTATACATGCAAGTGTCCATTGTTTCCAAGGTGGCCTGAGAGGCTGTTTGTTGGTACAACAGCGGGCTTCCCAGGCCACCTTCTGAAATGGTCGATTTTAATCCAAGGATCCATTTGAACTTGCAGTCTCTTGGTGGATCTTCTTCTCCAGCACACCTGGTGGTGAACCACTACCAGAAGCACCGGGTCTTTGTGACCAAGGGTGGCGCTACTATCCTTGTCTCACTGCCACCTGAGAACTATGGTTTTCACGATCAGGTGATTCAGAGGGTTCTGATCCTGAGGAAAGTCGAGAATGAGCTCGAGGTTGACACTATGACTGGGGAAGTGCTCGGGCGCTGCGCTTTCGATTTCTCCAGCTCAATGATGGACGCAATTACATCAGCCACTAGATTACATGATTTGACGTGTCCTCAACATGATCAGAGACTCTTACGTTTCTGTGTCGGTGAGACATTTGTTGGGTGCAACTCATGGCGCACCCGTTCGGATTCCTTCTTCAATCAACCCCAGGAGCTTACCAGGGTCAATGACATGTTGGCCACACAGAAGGAGCGCAGCAAAAGCCTCAAAGAGCAAGAGAAAAGACTTGATGAGCAAGAGAAGTTGGTCCAGGCCCAGGAGTTGGAAAATAAAGGGAGCAGGCAATGCCAGGTGGCTGTGATGAAGAAGTTGCCAAGTGCGGCATCGACACCGAGAAAGAAACCATCGAGTGCCAAGGTGGCTGCAGACAAGAAGCCGCGTGCATGTGTAAAGAAAGCGGCCCAGAAGAAGCCGTCAAAGAAGTGATCGCCAACAATGGACCAGAAACTGTCTTCAAAAGAAGTTGCCTGTCGCAGTCATGTATGTTGGGTTCTGTGATGAGCGCGGTAGCCCGTGCAAGTCATGTTTTTGTTTGTTGACGGTCTGTTTGGACTTAGGCTACAGTGACTGTTCCATGCATTAAGACATATCACCATCAAACAATGTCAATGGTGTGGGAAGATTAGAAACGTTGTCACAAAATATTCACTGCTTTGCCATGGTTGCCGTGACACATGCGGATACATCTGGATACCATCCGGATACATTATCCTTGATGTATCCGGATGGTATCCGTTTGTATCCCTGTGTATCCGGATATATCCGGATACACGGGGATACATGGGGATACATTCGGATACCATCCGGATACATCTACGATCATGTATCCGGATGGTATCCGCATGTATCCGGGGTGGCCTCGATCTATGAACCAATTGAGTGATCATTTGAGATCTCAAAGGCAAAGTTAGCCGGTCACTGTCTTTGTGTTGGTTCTGCACCATGGCAGATGCTGTAGCAGAGACCATGGCAGTGGAGGAGGATTTCCAGACCGTTCCGGCACAAATTCCAGATCCATTGGAGGATAGCGAAGGTCCAAGGTGTCAGAAGTGTGACACACCAGTGGAAGCTGACCAAATGGTCTTGAAGCACTTGACAAAAGGCCCACGGAACAAGGTTCTGTGCAAAAGCTGCCACGCCGTGCAAACAATGATGGCTAGATCATTTGATGGCATGCCAGCCGGATGGGACACGCTCTCCCACGAGGAAAGCGTCAACTTCTACAAGGCCATGTTGGAGAAGAAAGGCGATGGTCCTTTGCGTTTTCAGCTTTTGCGCGCCGAGATGAAGGCCTGCCTTGTTCACCGTCACATGGAGGAGACGAAGCGAGGCTTCAACGGAGAGTTCCATCCCCTTGGCTATTGGCAGCAGCGTGGCTACGACGTGACCAAGATCGAGGCCCTCGCAGAGTCCATGGAGCATCCAGTGCTAGGCCGCACATATCGTGTGGACATATTTCACGTGTCCACCGACACCATCTTTCAGAAGGTCGAGGAGGCCCTCCAATTGGTTGACAAGGCTGCCAAGCGCAAGCGGATCCCCAAGGCCAAGGCCAAGTCCAACAAAAGAAACAAAGGCAATGAGCCAGAGGAGCCAGCCGAAGAGGTTCCTGTCGACCAGGACCTCGTGGATCTGGTAGATCTGGAGAGCGAAGACGAGGTGGAAGTCGTTGGTGGGAAAGGTTTGACTGAGAAGCAGCTTGCGGCTCTGAAGAAAAGGGAAGCTGCAAAAGCAGCAAAGAAGGCCAGTGCAGAGGCAGCAAAAAACACCAAGGTTGCCACCACTTTGGCTAGCAAGGCCCTGACATGCTTGCAGCCTGTGTTGGACAGGATGCAGAAGGCCAAGAAGGGTCTGAAGGAGGGCGATGCTGATGCGGCAACCCTGGAGCAAATGGAGGAGAAGCTGACCCTGGCTGAGACTGTGGTGTCACAGGCCCAAGACATCCTGAAGAAAGTCGGCTCTGGAAAAACAGTTGCCTTGTCTGAGATTGAAATCACTTCGGACAAGGCATTGGCTGCCGAGATCAAGTCCATGAACAACGTGATCAAGTCCATCAACTTGGCAAAGCGGGCAGCCAAGAACGGCAATACGGGTGACCATGACTGAGTGGCTTTGAGATAGGGGTTCTTGCTTCGGTGACCTGGCATGTCCCAGATCACGCAAGGTGTCTAATTACAATGAAGCCCGTGCTCAAACGGAGGGGTAAAAGAGTGGGAATACAAATGCGTGTAGATTCTAGTGCGCCACCTTCTCTCTCTTGAACTGTGGCAAGTCACATTTGTATTCTATGGAAGTTCAAGTCTTGCAGATTTGTCAACCGTTTGGCGGTCGCCCGCCGAATAGTTCATGGTTTCCATATATTCATATACTATATGTTTTGTGTTTGTCAAACGTTTGGCGGTCGCCCGCCGAATATAGTTCATGGTCTCCATATATTCATATACTATAGGTTTGGTTCAAAACATCAGGTGCCCGTGCAGTTCTGTCCTTTTAGGTATCATGCTCCCTGTCGTCTCCATGCATGACACTACAGTGGAAACTTCAGTGGTGCAGGATCTGGCAAATGGATTTTCGGCACTGTACCAATATGATAAGGAGCAACTGGGTTACGTGGCCAACTTTGAGCTCGAGAACTTGAAGGAAACCTGTGTATGGCTTGTCGATTTCTACACGGACAGTTGGTCGAAAGCAGAACTTCTGAGCAAGGCTATTTTGTGTCTAGCCTGTTTGCGGTGCCATTTCGAATTTGGTGTGGCCTTGGATGAGGAGGCCTACTCAGGCTATGTGAAATTTGGAGACCCACCAGGGCGCAGCATACAACAGAAGATTGCAGCATATTCCCAAGCACATGGTCGCTGTGTTGCCCTGAAGCGAAGTGAGGTGAGCCAATGCGTGGGCTACTTGGGGACGGTGCAGCAATTCTTCAGGGTGCGCGAGAACAAGGCATTCTTCGATGTGCTATGGCCTGTTCAACAACTACTCTCTGAGGTGAGGGCCCACTTATAGGATTAATTAACTCTGTGGTGCGTTAAGTGAAAAACAAGGTGGTTGCCCGCCGTGTTTGTCTATCCAATCAGTGATGTTGTATTATCTACTTAGGATGACGCCAAAGAAACAAAAAGTCTCTCAGCTCTTGGCGCACCAAAGCTCTCTAAGCGCCTGGAAAGCCAAGCTAGTGCTAAACAATCGTGACCCTCAAGTTCCTCAAAGCGGCGCCTGGAAAAGACAAAGCCAGCAAATCCTTGAGCCAGCTCG